CTCTACATCTTGACTTAATCATTATTTTCTTTCTCATAAAGTAAGATGTTCTCTGTCATCATTCCAAAACTGAAAGCTACATTACCAAGTAACACATGCGCTTAGTCAAAACAGGGATAAAAATATTTCAAATCAAATGCAGCATTTCGGATCCTTCTGTTGGTTTTTGTTTTTGTAAAGTCCCTCACGATTGTTGTTTATTTGAACAAGTTAAATATGTACAGTATAATATATTAAGCTTTTCAGCAGCACTATCTTGTTTTTTTTCTCTGTCAGAACATTTTAGGACATTTTTTGTGCATTATATGAATTAATGAAGAGATCCACTAAATGCTATAATAAAGTCAGCCAACTAAAGAGATTCATGGCATTTCTGTATTAGTGTGATGAGGGTGAAGTGAGTTTAAATATACCCCATAGGTTTTACTTTGTTTTCCTGCCATGTTTTTATACTACACTTTGTTTTTATACTGTGCTTCTTTGGCTTTGTTTCAATGCTGCGTCCCATTGCTGTGACAAATTCACTATGTTACTTTTTTGTTAAGAAAAAAAGATTGTAAGTCAGAATCCTGTAGTCTACCACACTAGTTTTCCACAAAAGAATCAAAAGACCTTTCTTTGCCAAAAATGTTGTGGCATTTTTTTCTATATACATATCCCTTCATGCAAATACTAAGCATCTCACAGATCTACAGCAATCACTAAACACGAAAATTACTCTTGAAAAGCCTACTGTGACAACATCACCGTTACAGGCAGTTTGAGCTGTCTTAACTGTAGATATTTATTGCAGCCACTCAGTCTCACTTCCCAAGAAAGAAGTAATCCCCTATTCTTCAAAGTATTCCTATGAACAGAAACACCATATGATACATGTCTTAAAGAAAATCAGAACTTCTGGGCAAATCTGCCATTCAAAGGAATATGAAGTTAAAAAAGCAAGAATAAAACCTATTTTAAGATTTTTATTTTAGTTTAATATTTTTCAATGCCCTCTCCCTCACATACCCACACCTACAGTACCGTATATCACATTTCACCTCACAAACAAATGCTTGCAATCTGTAAGGATAACTGTTCTTCATTATTGTAATACTGTACATCTACGTTTCTCTTGTTTTCAGATGACATTACAAACCAAAAGTCTTGAAAATATGTACTATAGATAGAACTTGACTTGTGCCATTGCTGCCTCTCTCTCACTCACCAAGAATTAGGAGGCCAAGCGAGAGCAACACATGTTAACAAATTAAATTTTAAGACCTGTTTGCATAGCTAAGTAGTATCAAACCCAAAGTGAATGGCAGGGGAGTGAGAATATTTCACATTTGTGTTGAAATATTGTCACTAAGACATTTATCACTCCTAGACAGACTTCTTTTAGTCTTTATATTATGTTTCTTGTGTTATGCTCCAGGGTATTGAAAAGATAATAATATGAATAGGTACAGTCTAGCTAAAGAGCACTGACAAATACAGAAAGATCCTGGGTTAGAATTAAGTTTTAAAATGTAAAATCTCATCTTAAATGTGTTTTCCATGGCCTTAGATTCTTAATCCTTTTCTAAATTATACCTAGTTTATTGTATATTATGAAGACTACTGTATCTACAGTATTGTCTAATTTATACAAAGTGTCTTAAGTTGTCCCGTTTTGAAAGGTGCTATACAAAAATAAGATAGACTTATTGAAAAATCCTCATTCAAAGGTATGATCAACTATCTGCTTTTCTGGGTGAACAGTGACTCATTCATACCATACACACATTTTTTCATCGCACCAATATCAATTTATCGAAGCACAAAAAGAAATGAATAAGTAAACAGCGAATGAAGCAAAGCAGGGTTCTTGAACAATTTCCTTTTTTTTTATAACTAAAAAGGGACCTCCAGCCCAGTCTGTTCCTGCACACTATCAGAGCTGAATGAAGAGACGTTTTAAGGACGATTTAACTCCGCTTTTAATCAAGGTGGGATTAGATTTACTGCCTTCAGGAAATGTAGGTTTACATTTCTGTATTCTGGACCGAAGACGGCGTGTCAGTGAAACTGCATCAAAGGTTATTAATATCCACTTGATGAAAAATAATCTGTTCACATCACATAGACATAATAATTCAGCTTTATGCTTTCTGCTGGCTCTCGGCTACCGGCTTGCTTTTTCAGCTGAAACCAATTATATCATGCATTTAACAAGCGAGGCAATTCCTCCTTTCTTTTTTAATTCACGTGGAAACAAAACGTAAAGAATAACCAAGAGTGTATATTCAAAACGGAACTTCGGTTAGATACTTTTCGTCGAAAGTAAATTGAAAATGAGAAAAACAGCGATTTTGTATTGGCGTGAATTAAAAATCTGCTCCCGCACGAATTCTCTCATTTTCACCAGCACTGCTCCTATTTAATCAGTGGAGAGTGTCATGTTGCACAACAACTCATATTATTTAATTATATGGTTATTGTATAATTGTAGAGTTCTGCAGAATACCATTACTTCTAGGAAAAGAGAGGTAGTCAAACTAGTATAGCAGATTCACGCAGATAATGCAATATTTAGCAAAGCTGTTGTAATTCTTCTGTAAAACATGGTCTTCTTCATATAGCATTGATTGTGCCTCTCCATATTATTTACTGAAACTCCTAATTTGATTAAATTAAGAAAACAGGTGTTTCATCTTTCCACTGTTCAAATGCTGAGTCATATATCAGTATTGTGATACGTTCGAATTTTTGCTCGCCTTTCTTATTACAAAACAGGTGTAAAATGATTGATGCAAAAAACAACTACAAAATTATTTTACACTATATTAACCAGCATGTTGTCTGGTTATTAACTGTGGTTGGTTCCGTCAAAATACAAAAAGTGAGGAAAATACAGAAATGTGAAAACATGTTTTGGTACAACGCCGATACACTATCAGTAAAACAGTCAACTACAGTTTGTGTAACTTTCAGGTTTCGTGAATATCTTCACAGCACTTAAAAATAAACTATTATTTTGTACATCAAATATATATTTTGATAACCAAAGGTTTGTGCTCATTATAAAGAAAAACTACTTAACTACAGTTATAAAAAGAAATGAGCAAGCTATTTTAATAATATTTTAGGCAATGTAGCTGTTCACAACAAGAAAAAGGGTTAACAGACCGCTGCTTCTTTCAATTCATTATGAATCACTGGTGGAACTGCAGACATTTCTCTATAGTTGACACATTATTCAGATCCAGCTGAGACATGATTGTGCTATTTCGTTTAGGAATAATACGACTTGTCATTTTAAAAAAATCTATGTTATACATATGTTAATATATTTACAACTTCTGAAACAAATAAGTTAAAAAAAGCACTAGCCGGTGAAACGCTGCTGGTCTTAAGCACGACAGAAATGCTTCCTAAATTGTCTGTCACTGTCAGCAACGTTCTCTCCATCACACAACACTCCAGATGCTTGCGGTGGCGGATTCTGACCTTCTTGGGTTTTAAGAGAGTGTTGGCAAAAAAGTGACTCGAGAAACTAATTTGTGCCTTGTGAACAATGGCATTATATGGTGAATGCATGGGCCTGTGGGCGAAAGAGGTTTCGGATACAATCGAGTAGTTTCCACTTAATGTTATGTGAACTGTCATGTCTAAACGTGCTGTCTTGATAGTGTGGGAATCTCGCAATATTTGTGAAGCCATCATCGGAAAGCTTTTTTTAATCCACGTAAAACTCCCCCCCCAAAATTCACAAAATAAAAAAAGAATTTTCGAAAAGTCATCAAAAACACGCATCTTCTTTGTGGGGAGGCATCCCACATCCCACAAAGATGTACAAAGATGTACATACACATCCTCAATCGTTGAACGCTTATTGTCAGAACACTTCAGCAAATGTTTTGTTTCAGGCTGACTCTTGATTGCGGTCAGTTTCGGTAATGCACCCCAAAAAAAAAAAACACATAGTTCTACTTAAATGAATATTAATCAGATTAAATTAAATACAACTTCCGACCTTTTAAGAGGAAAAAAATAATTCTTAGCGGGGGAACCAGTTTTGAACTCCGCCCTTTCAAAAACACGCAGACAATCAGTCCACAAAATTTCACAGACCCCGCTCCAGTTCCCACAACCTCCAAATACTTTTGGCAGCTCTTCCTCGCAATAGCATAACCAAAGGCAACCGCGTGATCTGGGAGAATGTCTTCTCCGCACAACTTAGCTATGATTCATCCTTCGTAAAATGTAACGTCTGGCAACAAAGAGCAGAGTGAATTTCACACTAATGTACTTAGCACAAATCACAGCGAATGGCCCACACATTGCACACAGCGTACTCCACAAACATACTGTATACAGTAGGTTATTATAGTAGTGGGCGGTTAGCAAAGAAAGCGTATCTCAATGTATTTAAACACGTGCAAATGCAATGAAAACATTCCTTTGACCAGCAAGTTACATTGGTAGCAACATTTTAAAATCGCACTGTGTAATCACACCTTGCAGTTCTCTGTGTTGTGTGCAGAATCGATACTTCATGAACAACATTCTCGCAAGCACAACAAATCAAGCCTCAAGTGTATGGTTTCGAGAAACATTGCCGGCTGTTCTGTTTCAGATCATTAAACGGCGCACCGCAAATGCTTATTGCGCTTGCGTTGTGCTAATGGTTTTGAGTTTTACGTTTTTCAGCAATAAAATTATTGGCAAACCACAGTTTGAACCGCTTGCTTTCTGAGATATTTTACTCACCACAATTTTTTGTTTAGCGACGCACTCCGCTCCCGAGCCTTGGATAACACTGTCTAGCACCTGCACATCTGGAGAACCAGGTGAACTAGAACATTTTTTTCTGCCATCTCTGATAACTTTTTCAATTTCAGAAAACGGGTAGACACACAAAGCCGTGTTTTTATTGGACTTTGCAAAAACTCCGAATAAGAACTCCTCAGGGTTTTGTTTGTCGGAAACGTAGATCCGTGCCGGGTACACTGACACAATCCTATTGTAAATGTTACCGTTGGAGCCGCACTGTAATCCCATTTGGATGTAGGACTCGGTAAGCTTTCTGCTTTCTGTAGCCGACTTTCGTTTACTTTCACTGTCCAGACAAATTCTCGCCAATATACTGTTAGGATGATTTTCTTTCTGCCCCTGATTAGCATCATTGTTAATTGCGATGTAAGAATAACTCTTCTCGATAAAGGCATGGACAAAGCTCAGCTTGTTTTTGGTCTTGACCTCTTGTTTTATTTTAAAAACGTTGTCTTCAGAGGGGTTAATATCATAGGTGAAAAGCTTGGACAGGTCGTTTAAGTTGAGAGACCTGATGGCTATCTCGGGGGTGTTTTCGAACCTCAAGTCTTCTTTTGTATAATTTTTCGGAAAGAAAGGGGTTCCCACCCCCGTGTAGGTGGCCCCGACCAAAAGCCGAGTGTTCCCGGCAGGGCCCCTGAGAATGAGTCCCACGGTTGACGCGTTGGGGTGGTTGGCGGCGATATTCAACATGCTTGGGAAAACGGTCACCTTATTCTCACCCTGCGGGGGAAATCTCACAGCGATTTCAGAAATGTTCCCCAGTTTCCTCAGCTCACAAAACCCTTGGTACACCGATCCACACACGACGACAACCCCCTGCCCCTGGTCGAGCTGCAGGAGTTTGTTGTAGTTGTCAGTCTGCACTTTGGGGTGCTCGCAAATCGTCTGGGGCAACTGCGGTGCATGGCAAAGCAAGCTGTCGTTCACCGGCCCGGTTTTCTCTTCAATTTCGAGGCTTAAAGTCCCGTTCAGTTGATAAATCCTGTTAACTGTCGCCAGATATACCTTTCTGGAGTGTTCATCCACTGCGAAATTGTTGGTCTGCTGGAGAGACGTGAACTTCTGCTGGAGCTGCAGCGCACAGCCAAAGTGCTGGCGAATACTCAAACAGGAGACCAGAATCAAGACGCCAAGAAGTAGAACAACTCTGTCCGAAGGAGGCATTTTTCCTTCTTGCTGGTTTCAGCGCGTAATGCACTGAGGGGTGCATTGAGCAAGAGAAAATAATGTGTTCTTCACTATAACAATCCAAGAGGAAAACCTGTTTCCTGCTTAAACGCCTAAACACAGAATGACGTGATTAAGAGTCGTGCTTCCTTTTTCTTAAAGCAGCAACCACTGTCAGCGAATGATCTTGCCCTTCAACACTTCACAGATTACTGATACCGCAGGTTCCTGTACCCAGGGGACAGATGCAGGGCTCTTTTTATTTTTTTCGAATGTTTTTTTTTTCTTTTCTTTGCGTTTGTGCGAAGGGCAATTCGGGGAGATAATGCAAACTACCACATTAGACGAAAAGTTTTGAATTGGCCGTAATGTGATCAGGTAATTTTTGGCAACGCAACAGGTTTTGTTTAAAGGAAGGCTACCAAGGCACACTAGAACAATTATGTATATGTTATATAACTTGTAACGTTTAAACTTCATAGTGAGACATTTGAGATAGAAAATTAAAAACATGTATCTTAAGGACAAGCTTTAGGTGATTGTTGTGGGCAATAGTAGTTGACAAATATTTCTAACAGGGTATAATCACTCTATAAGGGACTGTGATATAGCCTACATAAAATAGTCGACAAGCATTGGCAAAGCGATAAGGTGAGAAATATTGCGCAATGCTTTATAATAGGACTAAACCACTAGACCACAATTATAAATCAACACAGAGGCGCCTCCCTAGAAACAAAATGCTCGTGCTTCAGGCGTTCACTGTACAAACTGGTACAACGGATAGTAAATAGAAATGTATTAAATCTTTATTAAAATATATTCCTTTGTGCAACAGTGTATACAGAATGATGTGTTTTTATGAATTCTTCAGCCTCCTGTGGTTAAAGAGACGAATATATTTAGCTGGTCTTGGCATTTAATGGAACCAGTGTCCTTCCTAATTATTCAACTCGAGCTAATTTCACTTTTAACTCCCCCGTCATTTTACACCTGCAGGCTGTCTTGGGTTGTTCACTTTGGTGAAGGTAACACAATACAGTACTACAAACAGCTCAACGAAAGTGTATCCTATTCAAAACGTCCTCGGACACATTTTTTTCTAGTTCGCTAACATACTGTATGCCAACCATCCCTTTAAATGTAAAACACAATCATTCTGTTTAATGCCAATAGCCGATGTGCTTCCCGGCTCCTCACACACGTGGTCCAAGATTAGCGGAAACCTTCCTCAGGTTAGCACACCAATTTGTTTCAGAACTGATAAAGCAGACTTATCTGATTTCTCTTATTAAGGCGAAGGATGTCTGCATTGTAACGACTGGCCACCAGTATTTGTATCGTCTTGATAAGGTAGGCTCATTTAAAAGCTTTTTATGATTGTGCTTATCCGTTAAGTGGGTTAAAATTAGAAGCCAGCCAGATACCCAAAACGTGGCAGAGCACACTCGGGTTATTATGCTGTCAATTAATTCAAAGCGAATGGACCTCCCACAATGAACGTGTTCTAATAATCCCTAAATACGGAAGTGGGTTATATCTGAGAAACAAAAGGTTTCTTCTGAATCGAATTGGACAAACATAGTAGGGATGGATATCCCTCGTCCGGGAGAGCCACAGCCTTGCTGATCCACCCTTACAGAATCAGGTTCTAAATATATTTTCGTCTTCAGCACCTTACCTGGCGATTTAAGTGATTGCGTATTTAAGAGATTTTAACATACTGTACAGTACCGACTCCTTGTATCTCTAAAGGTACATATCCATCCATTTCCTAAGAACTTTATCCAATATAGGGTCCCAGAGAAGCTGGAACCTATCCTGGCAAGTAATGGACACAAGGCGGGATGAAACCTGGACAGGATCCTAGTCCACTGCAGGGCACACACAGACACAAACAGGCACACACACAGCAAGATGATTTTCCCAGAAGTAAATTAACCTTCTAGCATTTCTTTGGACTGTGGATGGAAACTCACATGAACATTGAGAGAACAAGCATACTCCACACAGATAGTGACCATGGGCCCCAGTCCTGCAAGGCAGCAATGCTGATCACTACACCACCGTGCCACACTCAAGCACCACAGTTGATCAGTTTTAATTTACTTGAATCCATTAATTTTCTAAAGTAGTCCAATGTAATTATTTACCACAGTGATTGTTTAAAATTAATGGTTTAAGGCAGATCTATTTTCTAAGATCTTGTTCACCTCTTTAGGTTCACGGTGACTATCCCTACAGTATGGAATGATGTAAAACAATGTGGTCCAGAAGGTTTTATTTCAGATTAGATGTTATTGACTTTAATCAGCTTATTATTAACATAATCGGACCACAACACCAGCTTTTAACAGCTCTTCAGGTGCTACTGCTTTAAAAAGGATTTAGAAAACGTACAGGCACACCATCAATTAAGGTGTGGAGTTGGACCATCCTATTTTAAAAGATATTTAAAAAAAAAGCATAATATTCTCAGACTAACAAAAAGTTGCATATTACTTACATACCAGGGATCAAATAAGTCTCAGATGTCTAGTAAATTGAGTTTTTAGAATTGAGTGACCGATGCCTATTGGCCTTCATCTACAGCACTAAAAAACGGAGATTAAAAAAGCAAACAGCAACACAAGCTGTTTTAACGTTTGTGAAGATACATTTGTAATAGAAACAATAACTTACATTACAAAAAAAATATTAAAGAATGCAACTAAATGTAGGTCGAGTGCAAAGGACTTCATTCTCGGGAACCCCTTTTTTAAAATTACAGATTATCAATCAAAATCGTTAGGCCCAGCGTCCCGGAACACCAAGGAAATTTCCTGTCGCAACGAAGTGTGCAGAGAACTGGGAAGGAATATATGGAGTAAATACCATTTTTCTCCGACGTTAAGAAATGGGAAGATAAAAGCACATCCCTGGTCATCAGTCTTTGCGCTGACAGGCAAGCAGGGTCTGTTTATTTTGGCCCATAGTCCACCGCTCTTAATCAAGCACAGAGCTAGGGGCAGGAAAGTATCCCGATAACACACGGGGTGGTTGATTGCCAGAAATAGTGCTCCAAGAAAACCGAGGCCGCGCTCACAGTTTGACCAGGAAACAGAAGTGAGTAAAAGGTTGAAGGCTATGTGGGTCAGGGGTGGCTCAGGTCGGACGTTGCATCCCGGAGTACTGCAACGCTAAAGTCCTCTATGCTTATATCTTAAGGATCGACCGTATTTAAGAACTGCGCTCTACGCGCATACAGTACGTGACGCACTGGAAAACGACCATTTCATGCCACATAGGGAAGTGTCTGAACTATAGAGGCTGTCAATAATGTTTGAAAACTTACCCTTTGTTTCAAAATGTAATACTGGTAAAAAGCAAGCAGTCCAAAAAGTATGGTAAGCATAAAGAAACACGGGATAAAGTGTAGGTCTACTTTGACTGCAGATCTATGGGAACCTGTGATTCGTGCAGCTGAGCGTCTAAATTACATTTACTGTTCGTCTAACAGATAAGGAAAGAACAACTAATGAAGTTAATGCAGGGTAGCACAACTCCAGTCCTGGAGGAGCAGACGGTTTCTGGTTTTCTTTCCGCTTAAGCTTTTTATGACCTAATTGAACATTATTTGCTTAGTCGGACAAGTTGCAGCATTGCCTTTTGCTTAAGAAGCTGGAGATTTTAAGACGCCCATAAAACCGCATGGAAACTGGAAAACTGTTAATTGAGTTGTCCATTTCCTGCAGTTAACACCAATAAAAGGTTAAATAAAAAGTTCCCTGTGTGTCTCATTAATTGTATTTTTAGGCATTGTGTAAATGCAGAAATATCTACTGATCACAAATAAGGACATGTGGAAGATGTTAGTCAATGACTAATCCAATGGCCATACATCAAACTTCTAACTGGATTGTTTATTCATTAACAATGCATGCAGTTTTACATAGAATTGCAATGCTTTTACCAGTGGTTTCATGTTTTGTAATTACTTCCATCCATGCCATTTGAGTTTAAAATGCAATTGCCCACTTAACTGGGTGATTTTACCTGACTGTTTACATTTCTTTACTGATTCCAGCTTTTTAAAAATACCTCTTGCATCTTTCCCATCTTTCTAGAGCAATAAAGAGCAACAGGGATAATAAATCATCCATATATTTACCTATAATCAAATAAGGAAAAACTATGATGCTCTTCTGAGTTTTGATGTCTCTGTTGACATTTCCTTTTTTTGTCAAACATTTATCCATTTTCCAACACAGAATCATGGGGGAGCTGGAGCCCATCCTGGCAAGCAACAGGCACAAGGCAGGATACACCCTGGAGGGAATGCCAGTTCCTCACAGGGTACCTACAGACACACTCACACCAGGCCAATTTTGCAGAAGCCAATAAACCTACCAATATGATTTTGGCCTGTGAGAGGAAATCCGACCACCCAGAGGAAATGCACTCAAACATGGGGAGAACATACAAACTCCACGCAGATAGCACCCCAGTCCCAGTGCTGGAAGGCAGCAATGCTATCCATTGTGCCACTCTTTTATCAACTGGTTATTATAAGTTTTAGAATAAAAAAAAAACACAACAAATCAACTCGCAGTATCCTACACCCACCAGGTTCTGCCAAAGTACTCATAGTGTGAATTCAGACACCTATGACTGAAGTACCATTAAAAAAATAATAATTTGACAATGTTCTCAGCAATGTTTCCAAATCCAAGCCTCCATAGTCATGTCATTGGCACCATGGCCCCGTATAAATAAGGCATCTGTATCAATAAGGCCAAAATACAGTAGGTGAGGCTCCAGTGATACTGGGGGGAGAATTCAGAGGTTCCTAATGCAGAGCCAACACATTTTTAGTTGTACTAACTAATTCTCCATTTCTGTAGCTCAGAGAAACCAGGATGGGAGTTATCATTTGGCGAGAGTGCTAGGTGAGAGCATGCAATATCCTTGTTTAGAACAGTGGACAAAGTAGAGGAAACCTGTTTCCAAAACATAAGCCCTCTCTCCCACAACACGGGCAAGAAGTTGTCTTGTAGTGACCCACCAGAGCTTACACTTCCTGCCGAGATTTCCAATTAAGCACAAAGCAGTGAATAAAGGCTCAAAGAGGGAAATAACAATGCAAGCACACATAG